GATACACCAGGTTTCTTGTCTTTACAAAAGCAATAGCGTGAAAACACAGTAGTATTCGTACTACTATTCATTATATTGTACTAAGTGACATAAATCCGAACACCCAGTTTAAATGGTTTTATTTTAATAAAAGTTGGTGAATGTATTTCAGCCTTATCAGTTGGACATTCCGGTTTTTATACTGCTTTTTTTTAATTCACTAACGCTCTAAAAATGAATATTTCAGCCGCAGTAAAGAATCAACGTTGGCGGATTTTGGTTCTTTACATCCTTTACGATCGGTTACGATGCCTAGAGTACGGAGACCTGTACGATTTCGTCAACTTAGTGAGTTTGATAGGGGCCGTATAGTGGGACTTCGGGAAGCTGGACTTTCTTTTCGGGCAATTGCAGTTAGAGTACAAAGAAATGTAGACACTGTGGTGAGGTGTTGCCAGGCATGGCTTCGAGAAGGCCGTACGCAAAGAGCAAGGAGCACTGGACGCCGCCGTAGAACAACGGACCGCGAAGATCGCCGCCTAAGATTATTGGCCTTAAGGGACCGTTTCTCCACTACCAGGTCCATTGCAAATGAATGGTTTGCAGAACACGGAAGACCTATTGGCATGCGAAGTGTTTACCGACGAATGAGAAGTTTTGGCTTGTTTTCATACCGGCCACACTGGGTCCTCCCTTTAACTCGAGAACACCGACGTAATCGCCTTGAGTGGTGCAGACAACGGTCATTCTGGGATCAGGAATGGAACAGTATTGTCTTTAGTGACGAGTCTCGATTTTGTTTAGGCATGCACGATGGTCGTGCCAGGGTTAGAAGGCGACGTGGTGAAAGGAGGAATCCACAGTTTTTTGTTGAAAGACATGTTCATCACACTGTGGAGTTATGGTTTGGGGTGCTATAGCTTATGGTTCCAGGTCACCTTTAATCTACATCAGAGGTAACATGAACGCGCAGCGTTATATCCACGAAGTTCTAGAACCCCATCTTTTACCCTATCTTGACACCCTGGCGGATCCAACTTTCCAACAAGATAATGCCCGACCACATGTTGCAAGAGTCACAATAGACTTCTTTCAACATAATGATGTCACATTGTTACCATGGCCACCAAGATCTCCCGACTTATCCCCAATTGAGCACGTGTGGGATATGATGGGTAGGAGATTGCTCAATTTGCAACGTCCTCCTCAGACTCTAGAAGCACTTCGAGAGGAGTTGGTTCATTCATTATCATTTCCCGAAAGTAAATGCGCCACAAGCTCTGGTAAATACACGCCATTATCCGAACCTGCTCGAAATAAGAATATAAAACTGCATGCTAAATCGAGGATAAAGCCACCGTTGACACAGTATGTACAACCTGCCACTCACCTACCTTCCACCTTTTTCGATCGGCCGAGAAAACAAGTTGCATCTTGATGCGATTCAAATAAACGCATTATCACAATGGATGATAGCAATAAAGAATGGAATTCCCTCCCCTCACAAACACCATTCAATCAAGTGGCTTTAAATCGGCCATTGCGCAGAGCTGAGCTATTGTCGCAAGGCAACAATACCGCACTGTACCTACATTTAGTATAGAAATGGTGACAATGCGCCACTGTATGGATACACTGCTACTTGTTACGAGATCTGCTAGTTGAAGAAGTTCATTGTTATGATTAGGTAGATTTTGATTACGATCGGATAAACTGCGATTCGGTGCGGGAATAAATGTGGTCATCGTTTTGCTAGAAGTAAGGCGGGTTACTGTAGAGCAGGAGGAAGAAATTTTAAATATCGTGGAGATCAATGCAGATATCAGCACTCGGGAATTAGGCCGCCTACCATGTACGAGCCCCTTCCCACTTCAGTTGGCCCACTTCAAGTTTTGTACCAAAATATGCCTTTATAAACTAAACATGACGAAACTATTTACTTCTAAAACAATTTATTCTCTCAAAAACATTTTAGATACACTCTAATCGTAAAAAATACATATTTGAAATCACTTAGACCTATAACTAATAATGGGTGATTTTTTTGCTAGTATCTTTTTGGCAACACTGTTTTTGACAGATGACGCGTGAATCGTGTCTTGTGTCATTGTCAAACTTATTCAGTTTGGTCTATAATTTAACCATGAATCGACTTACGAACGAACAACGCTTGCAAATTATTAAATTTTACTATCAAAATTCATGCTCGGTTAAGAGAGTGCATCGAGCACTGCTTCCAATTTATGGGCAATTTGGTCGGCCTACTGAGGGAGCTATTCGGAAGCTTGTGACTAAATTTCGAACCCAGTTTACATTATTGGACATTAAACCACCAACACGCACACGTAGAGTGAGGACTGAAGAAAATATTGCGGCTGTATCCGCCAGTGTTAGTGATGACCTTGAAATGTCGATTCGCAGCAATTGGGCCTCTGTTGCTCCACTACGTGGAAAATTTTGCGACAGGATTTGGGTGTAAAACCTTATAAGATACAGCTGGTGCAAGAATTGAAGCCACACCACCTCCCACAACGTTTCCAATTTGGCGAATGGGCGCTGGCAAAGTTGGAGGAAGATCCACATTTTTATCGAAAAATTGTGTTCAGCGACGAAGCTCATTTCTGGTTGAATCGGTACGTTAACAAGCAAAATTGCCGCATCTGGAGTGAAGACCAGCCAGAAGCATTGCAAGAGCTACCAATGCATCCCGAAAAACTCACTGTTTGGTGTGGATTATGGGCCGGTGTCATCATCGGGCCGTACTTCTTCAAATACGACAATGGCCGGAACGTAACTGTGAATGGCGAGCACTACCGTGCGATGACAACAATCTTTTTTTTGCCCAAAATGGAAGAGCTGGACTTGGCTGACATGTGGTTTCAACAAGACGATGCCACATGCCACATCGCACACGAAACAATGGCCCTATTGAGAGGCGAGTTCGGTGAACAGTTTATCTCACCTTTGGGGCCCGTCAATTGGCCGCCTAGATCGTGTGATTTAACGCCGTTGGACTATTTCTTGTGGGGCCATGCTAAGGCTAATATCTACAGGGATGAACCAGCAACGATTGACGCACTGGAAGTCAATATTGAAGCATTTATTCGTGAGATACCGGCCGATATGTCGGAGAGAGTGTGCCAAAATTGGACCTTGCGCATGGGCCATCTAAAGCGGAACCGCGGCCAACATTTACATGAAATAATCTTTAAACATTGAATTATATCGACCGTTCTATCGACTCAAATAAAGATTTAATCGTTTTTTCAAATTTTTGGTGTTTTTTTTTTAAAATCACATCCTATACCTCTTAAAAAATCACCCGTTAGAACATCTGAACAAATAAACAATGTGCGAATAAATGCGCGAAGTTCCAAATTGTTATATACGGTCCACATATTGTTCGGTAAAAAGTTACACCACTTGGAGCGTGGGCTTTGGGGGGGAGGGGGCAGAAGTTGGTAAATAAGTACTTTTTATCAGTTTTTCTTGAATATTTCGAAAACTATGCGGTTTAGCGCAAAAAGTGGTGTATACAAAAATAATCCACATTAAATTGCGAACAAAAATGATAATTTGCATAATCTTGCTAGAGTGAACCGTTCCAGAGTTATGAAAGATGAGAAAGTAGATATTTCACGTACCTAGATTTTTTTTGGAAAAAATGACACTAAGGAAACCAATTTTTTTATGCAAGATTGGGTTTTGTAAAAGCGAATGGTGATTTTAGTGGCCGGTTGTATGTTAGTGATAAGCCCTTGAAGGAAAGACAACCTTACCACTTTCTCAAGGGGCGCTACTTTTTAAGGGAAAAGAGGCTTCAGAGGCCTAGGTGCGAAGAGACCCATTCTGAACTTTCTCTGGACAATGCCGCATTAAGAATGAACTATTACACAGGGTGCCCGCAAAGTTGGGGTTTTCCTTTACACGACGTGTAGATCTTGAAAACATAAGCAATTTTTCTTAGTACCATATACACCAATGTTTGAAGGGAACCGAGATAAAGGGCTCTGCAACATCAAAAATGTCTGAATACCGTCCTGTAGCCGCGACCCGCCGCGATATCCCCGACTGGTACAAGGTCTCAACCCGACGGCAGAACTGGGTCGGGGTCAGTGTGTCAGGTCAGTATGCAACCTTCAACCGACGGTTACGGTGACGCGTGTAGACGTAAATGAACTCGTTTAATCGATTGCGTTTCAAAAAACATCAAGCACTTGAGACGTGGCTAGAGAAGTGCAAGTATCAAAAACTAAAGTATGGCAAACGCTGCGTGAAGAGGGGCTGTATCCGTTTCACGTCCAACGTGTACAAGCCCTTCAACCTGACGATTTTCCAGCAAGAGTGCGGTTTTGTGAGTGGTTGTTGCATCAACATGACAATAATCCGGACTTTTTGAAGTGCATATTGGTGACAGACGAATCTACGTTCACGCGTAATGGGGTGAATAACTTTTGCAATACTCATGTTTGGTCAGTAGAAAATCCGCACGCTGTCCGTCGGGCACATTTTCAACACACATTTTCGGTGAATGTTTGGGCTGGCATGGTGAACGGTATGCTCATTGGACCATTTATTCTCCCAAATCGATTGGACGGGATGCAATACCTAGACTTTTTACGCAACATTTTGCCTTCCTTGTTTGCCTGCGTCTGCTCGGTAGCGCATCAGCTGATTTCATTTTCTGTTGGAGCGGTATGATTTCGGGCAGAGACGTACTTAGCCCTTCTCGTCAACTGGAGAGTGAGTACTTCATTCTTTATTTTTTTTTTACTTGGTCGCCCTCGTTTCACTACACATTACCTTTGTTATTTCAAGGGTAGTTGTTTCTGAAAAGGAAAACCCCAACTTTGCGGACTCCCTGTATTTGTGTAATAATTCTGATATATAATTACATCTTTTTTAATAATATTTTTTTCTTAAACTGCAGCTTGTGGATGTTTTTCTGAAAGTAGGCATATGAGCAGACATATTTGATTGTATATTGCAACTATATTTCTATACATTTATTATAAATACGACCTTAAATTAATGTAAAGTGCACTTGACCCCCCTTTGGTTGTTGCTGCTCCTTTTTCAGGCTGTGTGATCCTGGCTTTTGAAATGTCTTGTAACAATGCCAGTGGTATCTCTCATCAGAACTGACGAGGTCTATGACCTGAGAAAGCCTCATCTTTACCTCATCTCCCCACTTGTCGTGCCTGTTATTTGCTTCTGCTCGGCTGCTTTCAAATAGTTCAAAACTTTCTGTACTGAACTCCATTTTTCTTGAGCTGGGTTCCTGCATTTAGATATATCTACACACTTGCGACCACAAAGAAAACATAAATTTTTAACATCAAATGACTCACGTGGAATCTTTGCTGGAGGTTCGATTTCTCTTTACGTATTTCACTGCATTGAATTATTTTGTCCGCCGCCTTTTTAGTCAGAGTGATTCGTTCACCACGCTTGTCCTTACAAGGCTTCGACACACACTCCGCCATAATTCACACACTTCCAAGCATTCATCATATATGTAGTTCGCACAGTATTCTAACGACAAACGATAAAAAAACGACAGCGGAACTTCACTAAAAATTACAGTAACAACGCATTCAACGACCGAAAACGCGAGCGAGTGACAGGTGGCGGTCGACGTCGGCCAGCGCATGCGCGGCTTTGTAGCAGTGTTGCCAACAACACGGCAATTGCCGTGTATTCACGGATTTTTTCTTTAACACTTCTAAATACCATGTTTGACTATTAACATAAGAAAAACAAAAATTCAAAGTAAGAAATAATTATTTTATTATTTTATTATTTATTTCCCAAACGATCACACCTTTATCATATTATAAGATTTAAACTGCTTTAAAATTATATTTAAAATAATGTTTTTTTCAGTTTTTTTTTTCGTTCGTTTGTCGTTGTCAAACGATGTGACCTCTTTCAAAAGTCTTTTTTCAAACCTTAGTATTGTGTCTTATTATTTTATTTAACTCGGTGTGGGGGAACCTTAAAGGTCAACGTTTCCTGTGGTAAATACGTTTTTTCAAATAAAAAATTCCCTGTGCTTGAAAAGAATGTGGGAACCTCATCTTTGAGACAATCCTCTTAAGGAAATGTAAGAATAGAAAATAAAAATGTTACACTTATTGGGTGGTGTTAGCTGCTGTATCTATGGGGCAGTCAAAACCATATTTTTGCAGTTAAAAGTGGTTTCGACTAATTTTTTAACACTGTGACAATCCTTTCGAGTTGATGATCGGCGATTTTCTACGTTTCACGTAAATCCCCATAAACGAGAACCACCGTGCCGCCGCGACTAGAAGAAAAAATAAAACTTCACTGCGACGTAAAACCGTTCGTCTGACATCCTATAAAAATTATTTATGGGTGTTAGCCCAAAAATATCGAACCATGACAAATTCTATGGTGTTAAAGGACCCGGAATGGCACGGCAGTCACCGATTTCTCGGAAGGATCCGGCGATGGGTCCTCGTGCGCCGTGATGGCAGGGGCATTAGGGTAGCTGCGATCCGTCGCAGTGGCGTACGGGCCGGATCGATAGACATGCTGGCGCTCGCTGAAGGCCGACGCAGCGGCGGATCTTTTTTCACCTATTCAGCGGAGTCGAACCTAGCGACTTGCTTTTATAGAAAATACCCCCGGTTTGCGAAATGATTGTCAAGTTTGCAGAAACGAAAAAACTCTTCAGTTAAGATTTTTTAGGTATTTATGAGACCTACAGAATGCGTAAAAATATATCACTAATAGTAGTTTTGACACTTGTTGCTGATGCGACGATAATTGCACGCAACTACTTGAAATTTCTGAAATCCTTAGGTTTCATAGGGTAAACCAGACAATTATTGGACAGTTAAGGTTTAGACAACTTTAAATGAGAGCCAAACTTTCAATTATGGCAAAGATACAATGGAAACTACATATACTAAGTGACATATAAATCCGAACACCCAGTTTAAATGGTTTTATTTTAATAAAAGTTGGTGAATGTATTTATCTTACTGTAAATAACAAGTGAAAAAATTTTCAGCCTTATCAGTTGGACATTCCGGTTTTTATACTGCTTTTTTTTAAGTCACTAACGCTCTAAAAGTGAATATTTCAGCCGCAGTAAAGAATTAACGTTGGCGGATTTTGGTTCTTGACATCCTTTACGATCGGTTACGATGCCTAGAGTACGGAGACCTGTACGATTTCGTCAACTTAGTGAGTTTGATAGGGGCCGTATAGTGGGACTTCGGGAAGCTGGACTTTCTTTTCGGGCAATTGCAGTTAGAGTGCAAAGAAGTGTAGACACTGTGGTCAGGTGTAGTCAGGCATGGCTTCGAGAAGGCCGTACGCAAAGAGCAAGGGGCACTGGACGCCGCCGTAGAACAACAGACCGTGAAGATCGCCGCCTAAGATTATTGGCCTTAAGGAACCGTTTCTCCACTACCAGGTCCATTGCAAATGAATGGTTTGCAGAACACGGAAGACCTATTGGCATGCGAAGTGTTTACCGACGAATGAGAAGTTTTGGCTTGTTTTCATACCGGCCACACTGGGTCCTCCCTTTAACTCGAGAACACCGACGTAATCGCCTTGAGTGGTGCAGACAACGGTCACTCTGGGATCAGGAATGGAACAGTATTGTCTTTAGTGACGAGTCTCGATTTTGTTTAGGCATGCACGATGGTCGTGCCAGGGTTAGAAGGCGACGTGGTGAAAGGAGGAATCCACAGTTTTTGGTTGAAAGACATGTTCATCACACTGTTGGAGTTATGGTTTGGGGTGCTATAGCTCATGGTTCCAGGTCACCTTTAATCTTCATCAGAGGTAACATGAACGCGCAGCGTTATATCCACGAAGTTCTGGAACCCCATCTTGACACCCTGGCAGATCAAACTTTCCAACAAGATAATGCCCGACCATATGTTGCAAGAGTCACAATAAACTTCTTTCAACATAATGATGTCACATTGTTACCATGGCCACCAAGATCTCCCGACTTATCCCCAATTGAGCACGTGTTAGATATGATGGGTAGGAGATTGCTCAATTTGCAACGTCCTCCTCAGACTCTAGAAGCACTTCGAGAGGAGTTGGTGGTTGCCTGGAATGAGATACCACAGGAGGACATTGACCACCTGATCAGAAGCATGCCTAGGAGCGTTTTTTTGTGGCAAAAAAGTTATTTCTTGCAGAAAGACAAGGAAATATATCGTACTTATTTTAAATAGGAATTCAGTACATAGTTTGCGATTGATTTGACCAAAGTTTGTTGCTAGAATTCCCTACCACTTCAATATGACCATTTAAGTATGGATCGTCCCGTATAAATCCCCATACCAGTACATATCGACGTTTCCGTGAAAGAGAAATTGCAAATCATCCCTAGTCAGCCTCCGGGTCCATTGAAAAAAAAACACCGAATGGAAAAAGGGCCGTTTCGGTACGCGATTTCTGCTTTCTGGAGGCGTCACAGCTTCTAACGTGAACACCTATTAATCGTCAGAATGTGACTTAACGGAATGTTAGCGGCGGACCACGGGCGCACCTGAACGGCTAACTTCAGGTACAATGCGATACGTATGCATCTTTTTATACTAGGACACTCGCGAAGGCAGTGTTATATTTTTGATTCGTTAAATTATATACAGGTGATTCACAAGTCGTGACCAAAAATAAAACATCAAGCACAGGATCGCATTTTAAAGGGGGTCTTCTAAGTAACATTTTTTTCTTCGAGGCCTTCATTAATAAGATAAGGGTGGTGAAGTTTAAAAATAAAAAAACATTATTTTTTTAGGGGGGCGGGGGCTTTGCTTATTTTGGATGACATGGGAGTCTAGAAGATGATTACGTCATCGGTAGTTATTTCCTTTTTTACACGAATGGCAACCCTCACATTGTCTTTGCTTGAAAACGAAACGCATTTTCGGGGATTCCCGCAAATAATGCATACGTTTAGTGAACAGCGCACGGTAATTCCCCTACTCGGTTCTAAACCTGAAACTGAACTGAAGACGTAATTTGAATTTAATAGGTATATGTACCAAAAATTTAAAATAAGTTTATCATGTTATATTTGTATCCTTTACTCTATGTTGAATACCATATCAGTAAAATATTATCTCTATCGTAAATCTATTTTCCTATTTTTCAAATTATAATGATAACGTTTTAATTATAATATAAAAAAAAACAATACATTAATTGACAAATGTTTACGTAAGCATCGGGAGGGGGTAAGAGCTTTGCTTACTTTTGCTGACAAGGGGGATGGGGGGTAATAAATCTGCTTACATAATACTTGAACGGTCCCCAACTGGAATGAGCTGAAATTTGGTATGTGGATTTACCTAAGTATTGTCCACATTCAAAAGTCTTTACTTAAAATTATCGTGTCTTGTTCCGTAGAAAATGCGTATGATGTTCCATTTTTGGTCACGACTTGAGAATCACCCTGTATAAAACGACCTTTTCAAAATAATACGTTAGCATCTACGAGTACTCATAACCAGAATTAACACTATGTTGGAAATATTTAACCCCATCACTCCATGCAATTATATAATTATTTGAAAATTATAGCAGAGGACATAACAGAAATACTCACTTACCTAATCAACAAATGCTTTGAATCTGGCATATATCCCTCAATTTTAAAAAAAAGGTAATATAATACCGATACATAAATCAGGAACAAAAACAGATGTTAACAACTATAGACCAATATCAATAATATCCAGTGTAGCAAAGGTTTTTGAAAAAGTTTTATCTACTAGAATGATTCGATACCTCATAAAATTCAAAATTTTAAATGAAAATCAATATGGATTTACAGAAGGGAAGGCTACATAGGACGCAATAACTAAAATTGTAAATCAAATACATCAAAATATTGATAACAGAATCCCTTCAATCTGCATTTTTGTTGATTTAAAGAAAGCTTTCGATACAGTTAATCACAAATTATTATTAGAAGCATAGGAGAGAATTGGTTTCAGAGGAAACGCGTACTCACTGATCGAAAATTATTTGTCAAATCGCCCACAATCTGTGCAAATATCAGGATCATTTAGTAAAGAAATGTATATTAAGTGTGGTGTCCCACAAGGAACTGTCTTAGGTCCGCTGTTATTCAATATATATTTAAATGATATTTTCCAAATTAACTAGTTTTGCAGATGATACTGCAATATTATATGAAGGCACTGACTGGTCTGATCTGAAAAATGTAATTGAAAATGATTTTATCAATATTATTCGGTGGTTTAACAGTAGAAAATTAAGCATTAACTACTCTAAAACACATTTTTTACCATTTGGATCTTATGCTAGACATCTGCCAAATTACACAAATTTCTCCTTCAACATTAATGATCAAAAAATGCAAATTAATAGAGTGCCCAACATAAAATACCTTGGAGTGGTCTTGGATCCTCACTTACGATGGGACATCCATGTCAATTATATTTTAAAGAAAGTTAGATTTGTATCCTACAAAATTAAATACCTTAGGAATATATTGACAGAAAAATATCTTCGAACATTATACCATGCCTCATCTCACATATGGTATATTAGCATGGGGAGCTGCATGTTCCTCACATATCTATAATTTAGATGTTTTTCAAAAATGTATTCTAAAAATGATATTTAAAAAACCGAAACTTTATCCCACTGAAAAATTATACGCAGATGTTCGAATGTATGATATAAGACAGCTTTATTTCTTACACAGTATCACTCACTACCATAAATTTGTAAACACCGACCAAAAAATTAAACATAATCATTATACCAGGTACAAAATTCGTGGCACAGTAGTTCCTCAACCGCATAAATCTATAATGCAGCGACCATATCTCTATTTAGCGCCTAAATTTTATGAAATTATACCTGAAGACTTGAAAGATTTACGTTTTGGAAATTGTTTCAAAAGAAATTTAAAAAAATGGCTACATTCTATATCTAGGACTGAAATTCATACACTCATAAATACGAACATCAACTAAATACATAATCTACTGTAGCTAATTTTTGTCCTTTTTTGTCATTTGCATTCTACAGTTTCAACTTAAATTATTGGTCCATGTACAGGCGATGCCTTCTATTGGGCCTGTTTTGATTTTATATTTATTTACTCATATTGTTTGTTATCTTTGTACATTGAGTAAATAAATATTATTATTATTATTATTATATGTTAACGCCAAACAGTAATCTTCCAATACCCGAAAATTAGTCCCGATTACCGTGCCGATAGCAGGGGACATCTTCATTTCGTAACAATCCTCCATATATCACGCCGGGATCCGATCACAGCTCGACCGACCAACAGACAAAGAAGATCGTAAAAGCAGCAACGAGAACCAACAATGTCGGTCATTAGCATAGATAGATCTGCAGGAAAGTGTGATCTCGCTACGCGACCCCCGTCAGGGTCAAAGCGATTTGGAACACTGTCGGAGTGTTCGAGATGAACTCGGGACGATATGAAAATGTGCCGCGGATGCGGGGACAACATCTTTTTAGAGAACGCTCTTTCCGAAAAAGCATTGTACAATTTTCTTGGTTGCTTCAAAGTACCTCAAATATGGGGAAAGTAAACGCATATTAAAACAAGAAAGATTGATATCCAAATCAAGTTGGGTACTTTATTTTGAAGGTTCATTTATACCATTTATGTATGAAAAATAATATCGCTCAAATGTTCACCACGACTGGATTTACAGACGTCCACGCGATGGTCGAAATTTTCAATGACATTTTGCAACATGGTCGGTTCTATGGCATTTATCTCGGCAATGATGTTGTTTTTGAGTTCTTGGAGGGTGGCTGGTTTGTTGACGTAGACTTTGCTTTTCAAATATCCCCATAAAAAGAAGTCCAAGGGAGTCAAATCGCACGATCTTGGTGGCCATGGCACATGTCCTTTACGCTAAATCACTCGATCACCGAAGAAGGACCGCAATCGATGGATATTGACGTTGGTTGTGTGGCATGTTGCACCGTCTTGTTGGAAATAAACATCGTCCATATCCATTCCTTCAAGTTGCGGCAAAAAATAGTCCTCTATCATCACGTGATATCGCTCAGAATTGACGGTAACGGCGTCCCCGGCCGCATTTTCGAAAAAGTATGGTGCCTTTTGACCACAATGCACACCACACAGTCACTTTTTGAGGATGCATCGGCTGCTCTTGATACTCACGGGGATTTTCGTTCGCCCAGATGCGGTAGTTTTGCTTGTTTACCGTCCCATTCAAAGCGAAATGCGCTTCGTGGCTGAACGTGATTTTTGATGAAAAATTGGCATCAATTTGGCGATGTTCAAGGAGCCAATCTGAGAACGTTCGGCGCGAAAAATGGTCGGCCCGACGCAGCTCTTGCGTCAATTGGATCTTGTAGGCGTGCACATTCAAATCCTTGTGGAGAATGCGGAACAAACTGGTTCTCGAAATGCCCAATTCTTGGGATCGACGCATTGTTGATCGTTTCGGATCGTCTCTCACACTCTCCTTCACAACAGCAACATTTTCCGGTGTGCGAACGCTCCTTGGCCGGCCAGAGCCTGGCAGATTTGCCACAGAACCTGTTGCCTCGAATTTACGCACCAGACGACCAATGGTTGTTTCGTTTGGGCGGTTGTTGCGACCGAAATGTTCACGAAGCGCGCGAAACGTGTCTTTTATTTTTGCACCATTTGAATAACTTTAATGCGGTCTTCAATCGAATACGACTCCATAGCGATCAATGGTAAACATTCAACTAACAAAATGACATGTCGGTGACAGAAAACAAAGATGGCGTCTATGTCAAATTGACGTTTACTTTCCTGCGTCCCTATCGGACAACCCTTTATTTATCGAAAACAAAAAAAGAACGTCGAGTCACGTCAAAAGATTTGTCGAGGGGTGGCAACTTTTTAAACTACTTCAGCCTCGTCACCCTCGCCCCCTAGGGGCATCCGTTGTAAGTATTAGTTTGTTTGAAATGTCTTTCAAAGTTTGATTTTTCAACATCAGTCGATTGGTTTTCGATAAAATTAGAAAAATCTTTTATTTATCGTAATTTGTTCATATACACGAAAATACTACTTTTCATTTCGATAAGAGTTCAAAATGTTGCCCTTTAGGGTTTAGGCCAAATCGACAATTCGTTTTTAATTTAAAACGAATACTACCATCATAGACAGCAATTCGGAAGATTAGACGCGGCAACAACCAAATAACAACCCGAATTTTTTTCCGCATCCTTTTCAACAACACGGATATTCTGAGCGAACTGTATTTATTGTTATACCTGTTTAGTTATTTGTTGTTAAGGAAAAAAAAGAATTTAATTTGCTGCCAATCTTGGGATAGTGAGAACCAATTTATTGATTCAGATTTTACTTCCAAAATTATTTACACACTAGCCGAATCGAAGAGGGATGAAAACCCTATACTTGATGAGTCTGGAATTTATTTCCAGCTAGACGGCGCTTCTCCTTACTATGTTCTTCCAGATAAATGGATAGGACGAAGAGGGCCTAGAGAATGGCCTGCTAGATCTCCTGATTTGACGCCATTACACTTTTTTCTATGAGGATATTTGAAATCTACTGTTTTTACTCTCAACCTTAAAGTTTGGACGAATTTCGTCAACGCATCATCGAAACCTGCCATGATGTCCCACGACATGTTTTTGTCCGTCAGGTATTGTATGGAATGTATTTTATATTATATTTTCTTGCAAAATACAGACAAATCCACACTGTTCAAAAGGTATGTAATGATAGCAGTATATTGAACTTAAATTCGAGATTGCCATGCATTAACAAACGTCCAAATCTGCTGCCAAATTTAACAGCTAGAAAATCGACCTATTATTTGCCGCATTCCCATTGGCTTTGGGGATAACAGATTGTTAAATGTAGATTTATAAGAGAAATCAAAATACATGAAAGTTGTCCTGTTTTCTTTGTACAAAAGCATCATGTTGGAATCAAAAAGTGATCTTGTTTATAATACAGTCGAATTTTCACGCTTTTATTCAATATTTTAATAGAAATCACTGATATTCAGCTTCTGTCAAATTGCATTTCGAAAAGGTATTTTTCCATTGGTCCATAATATTTATGTTGGTGAAATTGGGCCTTAGTATTATAATTTTATCAAGTATTGCTACTGTTACTGGAGTATTACTTTTCTCTTTCTGGGAGCGGATGGACAACTAATGGTTTTTATTATTATTATATGCCCTGCTGACATGTTGATGAAATAAATAGCCTTTTCAGTAATGTACTCCACTTTATTTTCTTATCAATCATGTTCATGTATCCATCCAGCATTCAACGGTTTATACTTCTAATGCAAGTGTCCCTAGCATGAATCACAATAATAACATGATTAATATAACTAAACGATAATTGTATTTTTGTATAAATTAAGTTCATATTTTTGTATCTAATATAATAAAGTTCAGAGCTAAAACTAGAGATACCAACCCTCATAGCTTTTAATATCGAATCAACCAAGTAAATATTTTAGTCTAGGAGCACCAGGTAAAAGATATTATGCGTTATTGTATTTTTAACAACGTAGGGTCCTTGGATATTAAGCTTGATACCTAACAAATAAAATACAAGGCACTAAACAATGCAAAATTAGAGTTTGAATTGAGGAATATTATTTAAAAAAAAACATGGTTTAATATCGGGCAAGTAATGCTGACACGAGCATTTTATACGATTTCAAGAAATAAATTTTACATTGAGCCCCATCTTATTAAACATGATCGATATCTTTTTCCAGCTCCCCATAACAACGGAAGATATAGAAGATATCGACAAATCATGTTTATCTTATCTTCACCCAAAATCTAACTTTGCTTACAAACACATTAAAAACGATGCTTAATAGTAGTAAAATTAATAATAGTAGTGAATAAAAGTAAAATCGATGACCAGCAGCGAGCGAAACATTACAGCCACCTGTAAAAAACGATGAAGTTATCATTTTGTCGAAACGAACAGAACCGCAGGATCTTTTTAGCGTCTTAATTACACTGATGAAACTAATGAAAAGTTAACAAGGACAGATTTAACAGTGTACCATGGCCAGTATATCAAATACGTCAGGTTATTTATGTTAGCCTTGGGTCTCCATCATGCAAAATGCTTCACATTTCATAATTTCGCTTTTCAAATTGTAGAATTTCCTTTAATTCTTAAGTTCTTATCACGTTCACCATGCTGGTGTATTGCTGTTCGATGTACCTATTAACAGTGGCGCATGTTTATCAAGCTTACACCATTTTAAGTTCAGTTTTGTTTTTTTTTTTCATCGTCGATGATCATTACTTTTACTTTTGCCCTTATTTCGCTTTTTCATCAAAAACGATTTTAAGTAAAATAAAAACAGTTTTATTGCCCAGATGCACCTACAGTTACGCTGATACCTGTCATCATCGAAACTATCGCTGACATCGAAGAGCTGTTATATTCATGACACCAATGATAACATCTAATGATAATCTATGCTCTAAACAGAAAAAAAAATGAAGTCTGTACCAGGTGATTTCACAAATTCGGTTTCCTTTTAGCTCTAGCTAAGTTCATCGGCAGTTTGAATTAATACAGGAAGTAACCTGTCTTTAATATTTTTTTGCGTATGCTTCAGAAGTGATATCTTTGCGTATATCATATTTGCAGCATCACATATTCGATAAGAGCATGAAGATGAATGGATAAATGTATGAAGCAAATCCTGACGTCAAGAATGGTGAACCTCTTGGTCATCTAGTCAACGTAACCTGCCGCAACTTTATATGCATCTCACGACGTTTTGCTATACTTTGTATACTTTGTAGTTTATTACTTTGTGGTTCGAACTGTCAAAGTTGGAGTTGTTCACGCCCAAGTAACGGAACTATTTTAAAAAAACAACAATGCCACTTTAAACATTCTAACAACGCTTACGAGTACTCTTATCTGTAGCCTTCGTGGACAAACGACTCACCCGGAAATCTAACGGCGTCCGCCGCGTTCGCAACAGACGTATCCGTCATCTTCGCTGCAGCTGTCACTTGTACAAGTGTCACATTCTCCGCACTCGCAATCGGTCGAATGAAGGCAGTCGCTGCAGCTACAGCGTGAATCATCGCTGGAAGCACAGCAGATACTGTCTAAGTCTTCGCCCCAGACGCATTTCTGTAAAGTATCACACGCGTTTAAAACTTATCGTTTTTGGTTGTATAAGAATATTCATTTTTAGTTCGGTTTCTTAGGCCCGGTTTCTCGACCGCCAGTAAACTCTTCGGTTAGTTAACTATAAGCTGAAAATTTACTTTTAGTTGATATCTTGTCTCTTTTAAAAAGTACGAGATAATTGTACAAGGTTATTGGGAGAAGGTCGTTTAGTGAATGATTTAGCTTCAATTTATAATGTTGATACCTCAATATACCGTCTAAGGCGTAGATATCAGGATGCCGCGGAAACATCCTAAGTGCATGGAGGAGGTAATAAAAAAAATACGAGGCCCGCCCGAGAGGCAATTATTGCAGGAAGTAAGGCGATGTAGATCCGGAACCTATAATGAAAGCTTACGGCGACTTAGCATCAAGTCGTAGTGTAAGAAAGACTTTATATTCTGATTTGCTAAGGTGTGTAAATGTTATAAAAAATTTGCCAGGTACGTTTTTAGAGCAGCATCTCTTCCAGAGCAACGTGTTGTGAACGTAAAGCCGAACTTTTTGTTTCGAACAGGACAGTTAATGCTACAGTTTGTAGGGACAATATTTAACATAATATTGTTGTCTTTGCACAATATTTTGGGGAGGATTTTGCAAGGCCGTACAGAGCTTGTACGGTTATAAACCACCAGGGGCATATTGTGTGGGCAAGAAACGTAGATTTGCTTGTATTTTTTTGTAAATAACCTTTCCATATATCTTTTACAACAGCGATGGCTCGTTGTATTACATACTAAAAACTCACTCTGCATGTTATGCTTAGGTACTAACGTTTTGCATTTTGACTGTTGTCTTTTTCACAACGGTCCTCCTGTTAGCAGTCTTTTTTGCAGCTCCTTCTACCTCAGTCTTAGATGTAGATGGTTTGGCGGCGCAGGAAGATCTCCTAGTAGTAGTCGTCTTCTTAGTTACACCTTTAGTTCCAGAAGTCTTTTTAGCTGCTGGTTTCGGCTTCGCAGATGCAGATTGTTTGCTGCGGGGTTTTCTTGGTTTGCTAGCAGTAGCAGCAGGCTTTTTTGAAGCCGAAGTCTTCTTCGCTCTAGGCTTGGGCTTCACATCACACGACCAACCACCATCATCACAGCTACAGCACGACATTTTCCTGAACAAATGATTATTGAAGTAGTAGGGTTGTTGTCGAGATTTGATTTCGGACATGAAGACTACGTTTAAAAATGTTAAAAGTAAGAGGCCAGGTCGTTCTGAGAAGCATTTCATCATAATGATTATATCTTGTTCATGAAACTTTACTTTGCCTTTGCCTCGAAGTGGTGCATCTTTCAGTTAAGAAAATGTTCTGCTTTCTTCCCTTTTTTGATGTTTCTATATATTAATATAATTGTGTATTAACACTTCCAGTCCCAGTAACTCTGCCCATAAAACGTGTAAAAATATTTAGCTGACATATCGCGTTCTTCACAAGGTTGTAAATATAGCATATTTGGTAGTTGATCCGAGGGACTTGTAAAAGCAGGTAGTAGACGGCGCAGTGACGCGATATGCACATACAAGGTGGGCGAGATATCTACATATACAAGTACAAGCATTATGCTTAGAAAGTAATTTAATGAGGTCACCAGATTTTGTGAGGTAATATTATACAGTGTTTCAGAAGTATGGACACGCCCAAATTTCTCGGAAACTGACGGTGATAAAAAATGATTTTAGGAAATCGAATGGCGCGTCCAGTGGTGACCTTGATTTGACGGTTGATATTCACTTTGAAGGTCGTTTCAAGGGCAAGTTGATTTTTCAGATCGAAACCACCATTTTTTGCAGAAATAAGAAGCTTAAATTTTTTTATCATTAACGGTATGTATCATAGGCGCTTAAATTATATCTAGAGGTTATTTCAAGGTCAACTGTTGCTCTTTTATGGAAATCTCTGAAGCAGGGAATATCTGGAAAAAGAACAATTTTCAAGAAGAACCCTTAATGCGAAATTTGCAAGACACCCAACGACACAGCTGACGGTGACCTTCATTTTGAGCTTGGCCATGACTTTGAAGGTCAAATAGATATTTCACACTGAAACTCTCAATTTTGTTCCTAGCGGTGAAAATGGAGAAATGTTTGGGACCAAAATTGATAGTTTCTATGTGAAAAAATCTATTTGACCTTTATTCTAACTTTGGCTATGACCTTGAATCTCATTTTTTTCTTATAGAAACTCTTAATGTTGATCCCAAACTTTTCTCCATTGCCAGCGCCGGGGCCAAAATTGAGAGTTTACTTGCAGAAAAGATCTATTTGACCTTCAAGCTCATGGAAAGATCAGAGTGAATGTCACCATCAGGTATTAAAAGTTCTTTAATATTCTTCTTTTCCTAGCTATCCGAATTGACCTTGAAAGAACCTCTGGATGAAATTTTAGCTACTATGATATTCATACCTCTGACAAGGATATTGTATGGCTGTTCTACTTCTGCAATAAAAAATAGGGCTTCCTTAAAAAAACAACTCGCCCTTGAAATGACCTGCAAGGTGAATCTCAACATCCAATATTTTTTATTAATTTCCGAGATAATTGCGTGCATATTTTTAGGATACCCTGTATAGTATATATTGCATATAGATACGTATTAAGAGCTATTATAATCAGTATTATCAAACATTGTTGACAAACAGTCTTGCACCGGAGCTCCCGAGTACGAACACGAGCAGTTTTAATTTTTTTCCTTTTTTGGAAATGAGCGACATAAAAAATAATTGTTGGCTCGATCTGCAAGTGAAGTGACATAGTCTAAACAGAAATGGAGATGTCATATCAGTGAAGCGTTATTGAATTTTTTTAACCACTGCTAAGGTCTGTGATTAAAATTTGATTTCAGTAGATTTTGCACATAAAGAAATTGAGCTTAACCCGAAAACTCAGTTGTTTTCAAAGAACGTAATACCATGCGCAAGCTGGTTGGAGGAGAGCATATCTGAGATTGTGGGTGGATGATCAACGAGTAAACACAAAACTTAATGGAATAGTTATTTACCTAACAAGTGCGGAAAGTGATACTTGTTGATACTTTATTTTTTCTCCCAGCGTGTTAAAAGTCAGTGCTTTCCGCGCGAAAAAAGCATAAAATAAAGCAATTTACTAAAAAGTAAAAGGAAAAAAGCAACTGGGCCCAGTTTAAATTATGTATTCTTTTGACGCACTTTAGTGCTGATCTGTGTTGGTAATTTCTCACACCCGTTTTACATTGACAATAAATCCAAGGATTTCTCCATGACCAAATTTAAAATATGTAAGTCATGAATTTGAATAAATGCATGAATTCCTTAGTGTTTCTAGCACTATGTAGGTACTCTCGAATAATCAATGAATTTGTCCATTGATGTAAACACCGCAAAGATAATCAGGATGACCTTGAAGATATCCATCGGAATGAATTCGTGAAGAAATTATTAATATAAAACGGGTATTAGACAATGATTCTATCTGCCTGCTTATTAAATTCCAAACGTTATTTTTTATGTATTTTTAATACCTGAATCAAGCGTACTATGAAATTCACAACTCTTTTTACTTAGTAAGCAAATATGACTCGCCGTTTCTGAAATACAATGGTTGCAATGGAATTTGAAACAGTAAATGGTATAATAAATAGAATTCATTTTATTTAGTGGTACAAGCAAGAATTTAGTAGAATCTTCCATTTTCGCAGAGCTATGTATATTTTTTGCTATAGTTTACCTTTTTTTTTATTATAAGGAGCCAACATAAAACTCTTCAAGAACATTGGTACTGCCTAATGCAGTGTTACGATGCTTAAAAAAATGATCAACCAACTTAAAAAGAAATGGTAGTTAGAAATAATACCAGTTTATTGTATAACTAAGAAATATTCTGTGTTTCAGAAGATTCCGTTTAATCGTTTCTCGTTTTTTTTCTCTTTTAATATAAAATTAATGCCTATACGTATTCGACTAAAAAATATTCGAAAAACGTGGTAAAGACAAAGATATTCATACCTGGTAGATATCGTCACACGTTGAACCTTCAAGACAAGTTACAGAAGAATGATATAGTATCTTTATACATTCTTGGCTCTTACAAAAAGATGTTGAGGAACGTAGCACAGGGCCGGCTCTTCAGAAAATTGAATACTCATCTCTTTCATAACACTGATCAACAGCCAAAAAATATCCTAAATAAAATCAACAAAATATTACTATTTTTAATGTGCTAAAATCGGAATGAAACTTATTTTTTCAATATTAGTTCAAGTTTTAGAGATACGGTGATTATATGTGTTCCTGCTGTGACAGTGTTAATATACTGTAATTCACAAGAATGCACGTGCTACATTTTTATATTCGGCAAGGAAAGATGATGTAATCGGCATGATTGTGTTACGTTATACATACGTGTACATTATATTGTTTTATATTAGCCATTTTTTCCTCAGTTGGCTGACAGCGTTCATGCAAGATGTCTCGAAAGTGTGTAAACAATCCAGATCAGTTTTGTTGCGTGTGTGGTGATGTGACTTTTGCGTCTCAGAGACGGTCTATTACTCCGCTAATAACAAAGGCATATCAGCGTTATTTCGGTTGTAAACTAGGTGATCAAGACAAACAGTGCTGTAATACATGTGCTTCAAGTCTGAGGAGCTGGTTAAATGGCAAAAAACGGTCTATGCGCTTTGCTGTCCCAATGGTTTGGAGAGAGCCTACAAATCATATTAATGATTGTTACTTTTGCATGGTACCTTGTGTTGGACAAGCCACAGGTATGTCCAAGAAAAAAAATCGGTTATTAACTACCCAAACATACCATCTGCGATGAGACCTGTGCCTCACAGTGACGAAAATCCTATTCCAAAACCCCCAGAATCCTACACTTGCGAATCAGGAAACGAATCAGATCATGGCGATCGAGTGATTCGTCAGGAAGAACATATGCCATCAACGTCAAGAGATCCTGATTTTATACCGAGCACGTCATGCCACCAACCGCACAAAATAACACAGTCAGAATTAAATGATCTTGTAAGAGATTTAGAACTTCCAAAATGTAAGGCAGAGTTACTTGGATCAAGACTGCAGCAGTGGAACTTATTAGAAGACGATGTTTCGGTATGTGTTTTTCGTAAACGCCACAAAGACAGAACCATTTTTCAATATGGAGAATAACTTGGTTTTCTGCAGTAACATTAACGGCTTACTGACGGCTTTAAATATAAACTATAACTCAGAAGAATGGAGATTGTTTATAGACAGTTCAACATTGAGTTTAAAGGCAGTGTTATTGCATATTGTAAATATTTTACCATCTCTTCCTGTAGGGTATGCAGTTCACATGAAAGAATCATATGACAATATGAAGTACCTATTGACATGCATAAAATACGATGAGCACCAATGGCATATTTGTGACGATTTGAAAGTTGTTGCACTTTTACTTGGGCTGCAGCTAGGCTACACAAAGTTTTGCTGTTTTTTGTGTGAATGGGACAGTCGGGCAAAGGCACTTCATTACACCAGACAAAACTGGCTTGTTCGTTAATTCCTAGAGCCAGGTCAAAAAAATGTACAGCATATGCCATTAGTAGATTCGAAAAAAATTTTATTACCACCACTGCATATCAAGTTGGGCCTAATGAAAAACTTTGTCAAGGCATTAGATAGAGATGGGTCAGCTTTTCAGTACCTGCGTCAGAAATTTCCAAGACTAAGTGAGGCAAAGGTTAAAGAAGGTATTTTTGTTGGGCCACAGATTCGAAATATTTTCAAAGATACACAGTTTGAAAATACTTTAACAGGTATTGAAAAAACTGCTTGGAATGATTTCCGCCTGGTGGTCACTAATTCCTTGGGAAATAGAAAAGCTGACAACTATAAAACCCTTGTCAAAAATATGCTGTCATCGTATCAAAAGATGGGCTGTAATATGTCTCTTAAGATACATTTCCTACACTCACACCTGGACTTTTTTCCTGACAATTGCGGAGCCGTAAGTGATGAGCACGGCGAACGTTTTCATCAGGATATTTCAACAATGGAAAAAAGGTACCAGGGAAAGTGGAATCCTTCCATGCTTGCAGACTACTGTTGGACTCTTGGTAGAGATGCTCCAGAAACGATCCATGAAACAACAGCAAAAAGACAGCGCATATAGTGATTCTTATAAGTATATGAATCTTGTTAGTTTTTTTAATATATCCTTAAAAATAAAAAGTTTTTTTTCTAAACCGCAACTAATTTTTTTATTTCATTGTCATTTTTGGATTCAGCGCCCCAAAATTAACAAAGAAGTGCACTTTTCCCACAAGATACGATTAAAAAACTAAAACTTGTTGTCCAGTGTAATCTGTGTGATATAAAACAAACAAGATCAATTGAATATTCAATCAATTACAATTCCCTAAAGCTGTGGTCACATTGTTGCGTTTACCTTCAAAATGGTCTTGAAATTTGAAGGTCGTAACCAAGGACAACTGAATAATCACGACTTTTCAGTACCCTTGCGATCCATTTTACTGTCAGCGTATGAAAATAATTTTGCCCTTAATTCGATCATCACCGGACACGTCCCAACACCTTCCTAACAGGATCACAAATGAAACACCTTCTTTTTGTGTAACAATTCTCCCAGTAATGCCGGACATCTACAGTCGGCACATTCACCGTTTTTGCAAGTCAAGCAAAGGAAAAGACGGAGATCTTGGCAAGGACCTATTTCGAGGTGCATAGTCAATCTACTTGACGCGATTTTCTTTATACGTATGTCTATTTATCTCGCGTGCCGCAAATAGTTATTTGTGACCGAGCCTGAGCAGGCGCTCGTGTGCGGGTGCCTATGAACGTCGCATTACATCAGACAGTCGACGTAAGGTAAACGCGACGCGTAATCACAAATTACACGTTGCCGGCAGTCGGTTTTTCGTAAGCTTAAGTGAAAGCCGGCAATTTGCCGAACGTGTATACGGTGGTTGACTGGAGTAACAGCGCGGCAGAATTTTCTGATGACTGCCTTCGCCTAGGTCATTATCTTACCACTTGTCGACTTGTCACCACTACCGTCCACCACGCTAGACCAACGAGAACGGGCAACCATCCACGACAGAACAGTTTGTAAAGTCTGTCTATCCAAGAAAGACATTCAGGCGGTTGGTCACGTCTTATATCATATATAAGATTATAAACCATCTACGAGTATCTATCTCTTTCTTGTCAATCCAAGCTTTAATATCTGGGATCAACGTTCCACCATGGCCAGTTGCATCCCACCTCTCCTGCCATCTGACAAAAATCGCCTCTCTTTTCATAGAATGCGCAGCTAGCAAATCAATTGGCAGGATACCAGCTACCACCAACAGTGCACATGTTCTGAATACCGTTTAATGTCTGGAAAATCAGGAAGATCTTGTTCACATGCCCCAACATATTTTGCATTAACATTATAGCCATCAATTTCCATACTTCAGCTAATACATTTCCTGCAAATTCGAAATTAGATCTTTCTAAATGTTCATCAATTGTAACGCCACGTTCATCCAAATGAGACCCACAATCGTCATGAGACAATATTAAACCAGCCAGTTCTCGACTAAGAGGAGCCATTCTGCGCTCTACTCTGTTATACGCACTTCTTCCAGGAGCATTGGTAGCTAAAAACAATGCATCGAGATCATGTCGCTTAAAGTGTTGTATAGCGAACCCTATGACTTTTTGATAACGTGGATTTTCATCTGGCCTTCCATCAACCACTGGTTCTACTAGTTCAAGGTCAGTTTTAGCTAATGGTCGAAACTCTTCAAGTTCGAGAAGCGTCTCGAAATCCTGAGCATGAGTATTAGCAGTAGATGAACTATGCTTTCCACTTCGAATAGCGATGTATGTTGATCCAGAATATCCAACGGCTTGCGGTTGTCCTAGCATATTGGAAGTGATTTTGATACCAGCATAAACAGATGGTATTAATTTATGACGCTCAGCGATTACCCAATCGTGATCAGGCAATTTGATTCTATATTCCATGTGCATTAGAAGAGGTGCTTGCTTATTTGCCGCAGTTACGCCAATAGGGACTCGAGCTTTATCATCTTGAGATATGAAAAATACTTGATCTGGTCCAAGTATGGATGCTATGTTCTCTAAATAATGGATTGATGTTTCATCGAACTTGCTATCTAAGTGGCTCTTGTGGTGATCAGTTTGAGCCCGAATGAGCTTAACAGGGACTGTCGATACATGTCTTCGTCCCTCTGCAGAATTAGATTTTCTGGGAATCAAACGACGATATGTCCCACTGCGACTAATGTCAAATCCTATTTTACGTAATTCTTGTGTGAGTTCATGAAGAGTTTTTACGCTGCCAATTGATTCCGTTCGTCTTCCATCATCTGCTGCACTCCCAAATAAAGCTATATCCGCGATTGTTTTCAATAGTGAATGCTGATTGCTTTCAAGATTAGGACGTCCCACTGAATCCCTCAGAGATAGTCTTTTTTTTATTTCTGGATTTTCATGACAAATATCTTCTAACTTTCTTTTCATACCATCCCTGTGTTTCTTCTGTACAACTGCGGTTTGAACCTTCCTGTTTAAAGACTGTTTTGCTGTTTTTATCTCCTCGCGCAACTTAATGATCTGTTTATCAACTTCAGCACGGCTTGGCATAGTACTTCTGGCAGAATACAAAGCATTCAGATTTTTTCGAGTAAAGCAATCTTATTTTTCATAGCTTCCTGAGAAGGTTTTGCTCTCTGTTTATCTGTATTTTCATTAATTTCGCATTGCTGTTATGATTCATTACCGGGTTTTATTGTATCTTCTTCCTCTTTTTTAATATTTAAAGCTGACTGTATAATTTGTGTCATTTCTGCAGATTTACAGGTTGTCTAAAAATAAAAACTTTCTATGGCTTCTGCTAAAGATTCTCTTATTAAGCTACAAAAATACAAAGTATGGAAATATATATGGTGAATACAAAACCCTATGGCTTTAAATCTAACATGTTTAAACGAGCAATTCGTTCGGGTCACAAAATACAGGGTGTTAGTTTTCTGTATATATGTATAAAACTAACATCCTGTACTTTGTGACCAATTGACGGAAGCAATCATAAGAAATAA